CTTGGAAATGATAAATTCATGTGTGTTAGTTTTTAATTAATGATGGATTTGGAAGTTTCGATGGGAGTTTTTCATAAAGTAGTTATTTTATTAAAAATGGCCACAACTGGGGACGGGTAAAGGTAGTTGCACCGGAAAAGTGGTGAGAATGTCTTGGTGGTTGGATTTGGGCTAGTCTTTTATTCATATACTAGTTAAAGAATCCAAGTGAGTGTTTGATTTTGGTAGGGGATTTTATAGTTTTATGTAATTGTATAAGGTAGGCTTGGATATTTAAGAACGTTGAACAGGTGAAACTGTGACCACATTATAGGATGAATAGAGTGCAGTATAGTTAGTTGTTTGTGTGCATTTACGCTTGGTAACAACACGCATTAAGTTGGTTGGTTGTTTTTTCTTTTGTGTGCACCTTAGAGTACATAATATGAGCATATTTGTGTTATTGAAGACATTGTATACCACGTGCGGGTGTGTAAGAGGATTATGTGAATTTGATGACATTGAATTGCATGTTTGGGTGTGCTTAAATTAGACCACCGCTGTTATACGTCTAGTGTGCCAGTTTGTGGGCATCATTTGTGCGCTTGAGTTGGTTACTAATATGCATTTGATATCGTGAATATTGGTTGTGTGAAAATGGAGAGGAGTGATAATTTGAAAATTTTCAAATGAGCTAGGTTATAGAATTTGTGCGCATTTATTTTGATCATTTAGTACCTATGATTTGTTTTAGGATAGTAGATGTGAGAGGCGCATATTGCCGATAAAAGGCGATACCATGTTCAAGCCGCTCAAAACGTTTTCCCATAAAAGGCCGAACACCCTCTTCACAACTCGGCATCCAATACTTTGTCCCACCGAGAGAAATGTCATCCAATACTTCGTCCCACCGAGAGAAACGTCCATGCCACAACCTTTGATAGAATTAGACTGCCCTACATGCATAAATAACAAAAAAATAAAAAAGGGATAAGGGTCAAATAGGCCCTCCAAGTACATACCAAAATTCAATTAGACCCTCGAACTAAAAAAACATTCAATTGAACCCTTATACTTGTTAAAAATGTGCAATTAACTAATTTGACCTATAATAACAAGTTACCTTCAAGTCACATGCCACATGGATGCCAAGTAAGATGACACATAGATTATTAATATTTTAAAACATTATTAAAATAATAAATCAAAATAATTGTATTTAAAAAAAAAAAAGAAAAACACAGACTGCCATGACACCTGCCATGGCTTCTTCGTCTTCTTCGTCCAGTTCCACATGGACGAAATAGCTTGCGGTTTTCTCCGTCCAGATTGGACGGAAAAACCCATCAGCTTCTCCGTCCGATAACAATACAGGCTGCGGTTGCTACTTTCTACTCGAGCTTGGCTGCTGCGTGGAGGTCACAGGTTGAAGCGGGTCTCGAGAAAGAAACTCCACGGATTGCCCGGAGCTAATTGGCTGCTGTTTTGGACTACCAAAGAATATTTGTTGTTGCTCTCTGCTGGAGTTGGGGAAGACATTAAACGCATTGGGCTGCTGCACAGAAGATACCGTGTTCGGGGCAGAAGGAACTGGGTCTGAGTTGAAGTTTAAGAGCAACGACCACACATTGACGACGAGGCAGAAAGCTTGATCGGCAAAGGAGAGCGTGTTCTTCTGGGGGGTTGAGCAGGAGAGCGAGGTGGCGATACTGATTGGCGATGAACTCGCAATCAAGGCTCTGGTTGGGAGCCACTTGGAGGATGCCGTACCAGTCCAAGTGGTGGTTGTTGATCCATTTCTCGCCGGCGAGGAGAGTGTCGACGATGGCTAGGAGTCCGAATCTCGGTCCAGGGTCGCAAACGATTTGCACCCTATTAGATCACGATTGTTCAATAGCTTCTCCGTGATTGACAGCCATCGGATTGCCTCCGCCCAGGGTTAATGAAGACCAGGTGCTCCATTTTCCGTCGGAATTTCCCGTTTTCCTCTTTGATTTACGGGAAGCTGGCAATTTTTTTTTTTTTTTAATTTTAACTTATTTTTATTTTTAAATGGGATGCCAAACAATCAAAATTAACATGTTACATGTTGGTAACATGTTAAATATGTTAATTGCACAATTTTAATCAATTTAAGGGCTTAATTGAAGCTTTGTTTAGTTCGAGGGTCTAATTGAATTTTAACATATAGTTGGGGGGCTTATTTGACCCTTATCCCAATAAAAAATAAAAATAACAGGATGAAACTACCATCATGTACAACCAAACCAATGATCACAACCACTGCTATATATGCACTTAAAAAACCGCAGGGGGTAAACAAAAAAAAAAAAAAAAAACAAAACAAAAAAACAAAAAAAAAACAAACAAACAAACTGTGTGTGTAAATAATATTAATGGTAGTACAATAATGCACAATTAAGGTTAACATCGATGCACAAAAGTGCATCAAAAAAGTTATAATAAAATCAATAAACTAGTTAAACGAATGTAACATACACAAAATTCTACTGTCACCAACGAAACAACAAGGAACAAGCACTGCTAACATGAAAAAAAATAAATAAAAAATCCCACGCACGATGATAAAAATCAATGACAACACACGAATGCACAACTATTGTAAACAACAATGCACAAATCCGTCTATTAAAAAGTGACTATATATTGTTCACTCTGTGCACAATATTATTCATAAAGTTTGAAAAAAAAATTATTTAGAATACAACTATTACTAATAATTAATTTATTAGTGGGATGATGGGGCTTTAATTAAAAAAAAATTACACCAAATTACGATGGTGGATATATTTCAAATTACATCAAATAAAAAAATAGGACACAAAATACAATAAAAATGAAAAATTTAATGATGAAAATATAGGTATATGGAAATAGTATTACCTTACCCTAGTTTACGCCTACAATTGTAAGCTAAGCTTTTTATTTTTTAATTTTTTAAAATAATTTTTGTGGCATGTATTACATACATACATGGATTAGGGAACTAGGATACCTACCTTTCTGGCCTCCTTATCTAGACGTAGTTTGAGCCGCTTCACACACATATTTGCCTACTTTAAAGTTCACCATCCCACAACTAATCTAAACAACAATGCACGAATCTGCATTTATTAAAAATCAAAACAATATGAAGAAATTAAATAAACAAATTGAACAATCCCACAACTAATATAATGCTCACACAACTAAGTTATATATACCACACAAGTGTGATACACCTCTACGACCAACAACACAAACTCTTGAAATTATTAAAAATAGAAAACCCATAAATGCATACGAGTGGATTAAGCACGGCTGACACAAAACTAGAGCACAAACACAAACATCACTGATGCACACAAACACACATAAAAAAAACACACACACACATACACACTACCTTAAATTGTACCTCATACGCATCAAGAGCGGGTGAATACGTGCACACAACTAACCTATATATACCCTCAGTGTCACACACTTCTATGAACAACAACACAAATTGCAAAAAAAAACAAAAAAAACAAAAAAAACAAAAAAACAAAAAAAAACAAAAAAAAGGCACATGCGTGGATTAAGCACAGCTGGCACAAATACACTGCACAAACACAGACATCAACGATGCACAAAAACAATAACAAAAAAAAAAAAAAACAAACAAACAAAAAAAAAAAACAAACAAAAAAAACCACGGCTTTGATTAGTTCACCAACCAAAGATAGAAAATAATTCATAATATAAAGATGGAAGTTCTAATTAATTTTTAACATTCTTGCTTAAGATAACAAATCATGCTATGCACAACTCTTCACATTCCTGTTTTTTGTCGAGAGAAATAGGAGCACGAAGATTATTAAATGCATAGGCAAAATTTATCTGATCAGTCATGCATAGTTGAATTTTTTGTTTGAAATAATAATCATCTACAGTGTCTTCGACAGGTGGGGGTGGAGGTAAGAACTCTTTCCCGGACGTGGAGATACAAAAGTTGACGCAAAGCAGAATTGTCACGGAGCACAAAAATGACCAATGTGGAGATATTGTTAAATTCAAAGCTTACCTTAATTACTAATCCTAAAAAAATGTAAATGATCCCAAAATAATAATAATCATACATAGAAAATAAAACAAAAGACTAAAAACCCCTCAATCCCCATATCACGTGAGATTTCAAAACTAAAAGAAAAAAACCAGATCAAAACCACACATTAACCTTAATCCACAATCCTCTTGTGGGAAAACATCCTTAATATATATATATATATATATATATATATATATATATATATATATATATATATATATATATAGGTAGATGCTCATGTGCGGTCACGGCCTTAGGTGAGGCGGTGAGGTCAGTTTACAGCCGTTGATCGAAGTTAATCTAACGGCAGCGACATATTAGTTGAATTAAGTAAAGTTTTTCGCGTTTTTGGTAAGCGGGGGCGTTTCAGTAATTTAATGGGATGGGGACGTGAATGTATAAAAGACGGTTTATTTTGTGTGATTTTAAACACGGAAGGAAAGAGAGATCAAGACATCGTTCGTGATCGCGTTGTAATTGGAAGAAGATCAAGATCGCGATCGTGTTCATGATTGCGTCCCAATTGGAATTCGGAGAATATCGCTGGAGATCACAATCGGAAGTTGGACGAGATATCAGTTGCGTTTGCAATTACAGATTATCGCAATTGGGAGATTATTGAGGTTGAGCGATGGAGCCTGGTATGTTTTGAATTTCTCATGTTTGTAGTTTTAATTTGTCTTTTGTATTACTATGTGTCTGTTATGATTTGGAAGTTTATCGCATGCTTTTTTTATGGATTTGCTGTGTATCGATGTTGACTATGTTGCTGTGTGTTGTTTTGTGATTACGGTTTACTTTTTGTATACTCGTGGTGCATATATTATTTGATGATGTGTATGGCAGTATTAGATTTTATGCATGTATAATGTGCATGTAGGTAGTGTTATTCGTGTGGTATTGGATAAGTTGTGGTGCTTTATTAGTTAACATGTGGTGTGCAGCTGATGTTTTGCAATCTGGTGGTGTTTGTGGAGAAGGCAGTGGTGGTGTTTGTGATAACTCAACTGATGTTTGTGGAAAAGGCAGTGGTGGTGTTTGTGATGAAGGTAATCCCACTGATGTTGGTATAGAATGCAATGGTGATGGTTGCGATGATGGTAATGTGACTGGTGTTGGAGTAGCAGGCAGTGGTGTGGGTTGTGATGAAGATTATTTGGCTGATGTGGGTGTACAAGGCAGTGTATGTGTGTTGGAAACTTCTCCTGGGCTGACTAAGTATTGGCGCCCAGTTTGTGCTGACAGTGTGAAGCCTATTGTGGGGCAACAATTTGTTTCCTTGGATGGTGCTGTTGTGTTTTATAAACAATATGCTGGGACTGTTGGGTTTGATTGTAGGCAGCAGTCAATTCGGAAAGATAGGGATGGTGTTGCTGTGGAGAAGCACGTAGTATGTAACCGTCAGGGTTTTAAGCAGAGGGTTTCTAGGGTTGCTAAAACTACTTTGGCGAGGAGACGGAGGGTGACAAATAGGGTTGGTTGTAAGGCTAAGGTTGTGATAAAGCGTAAGTCTAATGGGTTGTATGTTGTGCATTATTTTGAGGAACGTCACACCCATTCGATGTGTTCAATTATTGCTAGGCAATTTTTAAAGGTGAATCGTAGTCTCGATGCTGGGCACCAAATGTTTATTGCTAGTTGTGTTCGGGCAAATATTGGGTCTGTTCGGTCATATAGGCTGTTTAAAGAGATTGTTGGTGAGTATTCCAGTGTCAGGGCTACAAGTGTGGATTTTAAGAATTTCAAGCGTGACCTGATGTCGTACATTCTAAATGGTGATGCTCAATTATTCATAGACACGTTATTCAAGAAACGTGAGTTGTGTTAGGCATTTGATTTTGAATATGATGTTGATGAAGGTGATCAGCTTTCAAGGGTTTTTTGGGCGGATGCAGTATCTAGGAAGAATTTTGCGTTGTTTGGTGATGTTGTTTCATTTGATGCTACATACCGTACTAACAGGTTAGTATTTATTTTTATTGTGCATGTTGTATTTGTCTGTGGTGCATGATTCCATACCTTATGGTGTGTCTTCTTAGAAGTATGGTGTTGATTGCTTGTTGTGTTGTAGGTATAAGTTGGTGTTTGTTCCATTTACTGGAATTGATAACCATAAGAGATCCATCACCTTCGGTGCTGGTTTGCTTACGAGGGAAGATGTAGACTCATATGTGTGGCTTTTGGAGAAATTTAAGAAAACTATGTGTCATGACCCTATATGTGTTGTTACTGATCAAGATCCAGCTCTCAAGGTTGCTGTTGCTCGCGTGTTTGGTACATCAAAACATAGATTTTGCATGTGGCATATAATGTGTAAGGTTGGTGAGAAAGTTGGACCAATTCTATCTAAAGATGAAGTGTTTAGGAGGAAGTTGAATGGCATTGTCTGGAACAAATCACTGGACTCCAAGTCATTTGAGGAGGCATGGAGTTGTATCATGGAGGAATATGGTTTGGGTGACAATGGTTGGTTTCGTTACTTGTTCGAGTCTCGTACATATTGGGCATCCCCATATTTTCACGACGAGTTTATGTCAGGACTGGTTAGGACAACGTCTCGATCAGAGTCTCAAAATAGTTTCTTTGGTACGTTCTCTAATGGTCATTCTAGTTTGGTTGAGTTCTTGGTGCATTTTGGAAGTGCTGTTGGTGCGCAGCGTCATGCACAAGCAAAATTGAATGCTGATTGTGAATCTTGTTTTCCTGTTTTGAAGACACCATTGGCTTTGGAGAAGCATGCAATGGATGTTTACACCATTTCTGTATTTTATGATGTTCAAGTAGAGATTTGTGCAGCTTGTTATTCGTGTCAAGTGGTGTCTTTGTGTGATTGTGATGGCCATGTGTCATATGGGATAAAAGATGGTGCCCAACGGGCATGGTATGTGGAGCTAGTCTTGTCTGATTATACTGCTACATGTTCTTGCAAGATGTTTGAGCGGACGGGGTTGTTGTGTAGGCATATTTTTTTTGTGTTTAAAGATCGTGGGCTTGAGAGTATTCCTTCTAGGTATGTAGTGTCTCGGTGGACAAAGGGTGCTTGTTTGAAGCCAATATTTCATATTGATGATACAATTGTTGATCAATCTTCTAAAGTGGAGAATGTTAGGATTTTTACTAATCTATTGTGGTCTGACATATATGTTTGCGTGGGCTTGGCCGATGGTAATATAGAACGTTTGTCACAGCTACGACGTGTTATTTGTGAGCAAAGGCAATTATTTCTCCAAGAGGGGAGTGAGGATGGCAGTGGGGTGGTGGCTGGTGGCAGCAAACAAAGTGTGATCAATTCATTTTGTGGAGATGTGTCTCAGGGTTCAACAGTGGAGGTGCGTGATCCTATTCAAGCTAAGAACAAGGGTAGCGGTAAGCGGTTGAAGAGTACAAGGGAGAAAGCTGCTAGCAAGTGTGTAAAGCAATCAAGGAAATGCCATACTTGTGATGAATATGGTCATAATAGTAGGACATGCCCTTTAAATGGTTAGATACAGTTTGATTTGGGACATATATGTTTTCACAGTTGCGTACAATTCTTATAACACACAGTTATGCATTTTATTACAGTACTTGGTGTTTTTTAATAAACAGTGTGGTGCATTTAAGAATGTCGGATGTTTTTATATTAGAATGGTGTGTTTTATTCCGTTTTGTGGTGCATTTTTATATATAGACTTATGTTGGCTGTAATATATTGTGTGGTGCATTTTATTTCACATGTTAGTGTATTTTGCAAGTAAAAAGTGGAATGGTGCATGCTATTTGTTATAATGGTGTTTTTGAGGTGTCCTTTTATAAAATGAAGTGTATGCATAATAATACTGCATTTATAGCAATGCAAATGGGTAAGCCATTCACAAGTACCCATCACAAAAAATTGTTTGTCTAGTAGTCATATGGTCTATGCCATGCCATCACAAAAAAACATTTACATGATTGAAAGTCTTCCTAAACACCAAACTCTGCTGCCTTCTGTATGTTTATTTCTTTCAGTTCATTCACATCTGTGGTGATCAAGGCAGCCAAGTACCTCACTCGTAACTTGTTCAATTGTTCTTTGTTGTTTTTCTGCAATCCACAATCCCATTCTTCAACTGACTGTCCACGGAAGGTTTCCATATGCCACATTAAAAAGATGCCACAATCCTTTTTGTTATGCGCATCTCTCCAAGGCATCTTCATTATCTTGGATTTCAGCTTCTTTACCTTCTCACCTTTGTATGCGGATTTCTGTTCGATCAACATATTTGAAAAGAATTTTTGCTGCATCAAGGAAGCATACACCAATATTAGTTTTTTGTGTTGTTGTGTATTAAATATATATAACCAGGTAGTGTTTAGTGGGTTACCAGATTGTCAAGCACATATCCGTATTTGTCCTGTTTCTTCACAGGTGCTGAAGAGTTGTCAATGATGTCAAACTTTTCCATTAGTGGGCTAATAGACAGCAAGTAGTAGTGGTTGGATGCCACTATGGGAAACAGAAACTGTCATAACAAAAACACACCACATGTGTCATAATATACACCACTATATGAGTAATAATGCACCACAATTAGACAAATACACCACTTACGTATACAACTTTGTGCCACACGATGTCTATAGCAATCGCCTTGTCTTGCAGATACTTTTCTTTGAATCTTTCGAATCTTAATTTTTCATCCCCCTGCGGGTTCACAACTGTGTACAGCTGCAAAGTTCAATGATGCAGTTGTTAGATTTGTAGGGGTTTTACAGGCGTAGTTACTTTTATATTATTTGCTTACACTTATCCAGGTTGAAGCACGAATTTTGTAGACCCTCTCTCTCCTTCACGAATGTTTAGTATGGCCGCCCAAGCATCAACTATAGATACTGGAATCTCAGTATCTGGCGCCATTAACAGCATATCTCTCCAGTAGATTACCCGTCCTTCATACCTGAATAATTCCTGCTCACTGGTAATAATGTATTGTATAAGCAACAAAAATATTAATACATCATTATTAAATCATACACCGAAGTTATAGCAGTAACACACCATTAGAAGTTAATATTTCATTTAAAGAGAATACACCAATATATATAGAGATATACACTAATAACTATTGAGTATCACACAAAACCTAAGCAAACTAATGTGACCACCTGATGTGTCAACACAGACAACCATATAAACACACCAATAGTTATCAAATAATGCACTAGTTAATATATGATAATTATACACCAATATTATTATACAATGCACCAAATATATCTTAGAAATACACCAAGTAGAATGTGTTGTGCTTACAGTTCTGGGTTAGGGTTTTCTAATACCCATTGTCTGATTGATTCCTCTGTTGAAGTTATTGGGGCTTCCAGATCAGTTGCATATATTCGGGCCTTAGGTCTGATTGGGCTGTTCCCTCTAGCTGGTCTCTTTCCTTTGTCCAAAGGTTGGGGTGGGGGTGGTGGATCTGAAGCAGGCCCCTCTTGAATTTGGTCTGTCGGTGTGACCTGTAACATTTAGATTTTAATTTTTTTTCTTTTTGTCACGTCGCCAATTTAATACAGTGCATTACCTCATCATTGTTATCAGCAGGTGCATCTGGTTCAGCACTCTGTCCATCTTGTTGTCCTTCAGATGCTTCTTCACCCTCATTCATGTCCAGCTCTACTTCCTCATTTTCTGCAGCCTGATCAATGTTTTGGTAGTCTCGTGCAATATCATTCACGTCCGCCCATTGTCTATTTTGTTCATCTTGTGTCAATCCAAGGCTGAAAGATGGCATATCATTTAGAAAATTTCTCTTGTTTACTGCACGGACAATCTCATCTACTGCCTTCAAGAACTCAGGGTCACTCCAGTAGGCATCCTCTCGTTGAGTAAAGGTCAGTTCTCCATCATCTTGTGCTCTGAATCCAAGCATTTGCCTAGCAGATTCAAACATCTGTTTGAATGTATCATGCTCCAATACTGCTGCAAGTGCATTTTCAATTAGCTTTGATATTCTCAGCAGACTCTGTGCAATTGACCTAGTGTGGGTGGTAATCTCATCAACAAATTCCTGTACATGAAACACTATAGTATAAACACAATACATATTGTAATATACACCAAATATTTATAAAAAATACACCACAGTCAGATAATGCACCATATTACACACAAAATGCACCAATTACCATTGCAGTGGTTGGGTTACCTGTAATCCTTGTGGCAGTGGTGGGGTCTCTTCTTGTGGTGGGGGTGGGGGTGGGGGTGGTGCTTCACAGTGTGTTGTGATCTCCAGTGGTAAGGCAGTATCAACGCGTCCATATCCAAATCCTCCAGACTTGAGCTCATCCTGTTGTCGTTGTCGGAGCAGTTTAAATGTCATGCTATTCATGGCAGGGTAGCTTCTTGGGACAGACCTCCGGTAGAGCACCACACGGTCAACATAGAATACCTGCATTTGGTAGTTTAGATTATTCATAGGGTGATGTGAAAGTAATTACAAGCTTGTTGAGTGTCTTTTTACCGTTAGGAAAACAATTGGACCTCCAAACCGTCCATCACAGCTCTCCAGCCATGCCTTTTTGCTTGCAATGAGTGAATTGATCAGCATTCTACACCAATTGAGCCTCTTGATGTTGTCAACTTGACGCAAGTTGTCAATGTAGCTTTGGTTCACATAACCATTTATCTGTGGCTCCACCAACACACTCATAACAAGTAGTGCAAAATTCCGTTTGAACCATGGGTTAGCAGCTCTCAATGTCAACATTTTTTTAGCCATCTTGCGTGGGGTGATGTGGCCGTCAGCCCTTCCAAAGATTTTTCTCCAGTCTGCCAGGAGATCAGATACTGCTTTACTTTCCCTCTTAGTGATTACTATGTCTCCAAGCGGCAGTCCCAATGTCACAGCAACATCTTCTTCTGTGATATGTAGTTTTTGGTCATTTTGCAGATTCAATGTGTTGCTCCTTGCATCATAGTTTTCAACCAGCCACATCCCCAGTTTCCTTGGAAGGTTTGTGATTTTGAGGTCAAGAATCCTTCCCAGCCCAATGTCTTTTATACTCTGGCGTTGTTGTTTGGTTAGGGCATTAATGGGTTTTGTTAGCTGTGTTGGCAGTGGCCTTATCTTTAGGTCAGTATCTTCATTCTCTTGCTCCAATGTATCTATTTCATCATTTGAGCTGTCATCAACTTCTTGTTCATGCACTTCTTCATCTGTCTCTGTTTCATCTTCTATTCTGTCAAGGAATGTCATTGCTTCTTGTTTTCTATGCCTCCGTGGCTTTGACGAATCTCCTTGGTCTAATGCCTTTCTCTTGTTGTCTGAAATACACAGATGGTAGGACAAAAATACACCATGCATAAAAATTAAACACACCACAACACTCTTTACCAATATTCAAGTTCCAAATCCCAGAAATCACCAATAATAAATGATATATACACTACATTGATGTTCACCATAAAACAAAACAACACGTAATGAAATGCCCAGCCTGTAATGCTCAAAAATACACCGACTGTAGGATAAATATGCACAGTGTACAACAAATAAACTCACAACAAATTTTTCACCAGTATTCTAGTTATACATTACAGAAAACACCAATAATAAACGAAATATACACCACAGTAATGCTTATCATAGACAGACAACACGTAACGAGATACAACAAATTCATAATATGAAATACACCAACGGTAGGATAAATATGCACTGTGTACAAAAATTAAACACCCAACAGTTTTTTTACCAATATTCATGTCACAAATACCAGAAAACACTAATAATAAACGAAATATACACTACATTATTGTTTATAATGCAAAAATAACATGCAATGCGATGCCCTAGTCTGAAATGTTCAAAAGAATACATCGATGGTAGGGTTAACATGTTAGTTGACACATTGAAGTAAAATATTACAGAATACACTAATAATAAACGAAATATACCATTGCATGCTCGTTGCTTGCCTTTGTTCGCCATTTGTGTGTTTTGTAGCGAATCAGTGTTGTAGAAGACGGTTCGTGTCCCTCTCAGAACGCGGTGGTGTGTTCGGCTATAGTCTCCTCACTGTTCGTCGTTGAAGTTTCTCGTCGTTGCAGTGGTTCGCCTCGCTTTCGTCGCCGGAGCAGGAGCAAGTTGGAGAGAGTTCGCGACTTCGGGATTGTGAATAGGAAGATGGGACGGGGTGTTTACTTGCAGAAGTGGAGAAGTGATCAGTTCGAATTGAACGAATGGACAATTTTGCCCTCTATGTCGCGGTGATCTTTAAGTGAAGCGCGAAATCATCTCAATTATGGTGCGTTGGATTGGACTTGATCAACATATGGGAAATGACCTCACCGCCTCACCTTAGTGTACAGCCGCACCTGATCTTGCCTCTATATATATATATATATATATATATATATATATATATATATATATATAATAAACATAATAAGTCCCAATGAATGTTATATCCTTGATTTATGTCTCTCTTTTTATATGCCGATAAAGGTATACATTTTACT